GAAGAGGAGGAGCAGCTACCTGCCACTCCCCACCTGACTCTTACACTAGAGTCCCCAGATTGAAGAGTGGGAGGAGGCTGGGCTTTGAAGTGGGCTGTGGGTTTGAAGTGCAGGTGTTGGCTTTGAAGTGCTACACTGGGGGAAAGTTTCTCTGCCATGTGGAACTTCAAAGCTGGCACCACAGCCCTGCACTTGAGGCTGCAGATGCACAGCTTTAAAAGTGCTGTGGTGGGGGGAAGCTCCCTTGCATGGCACCTTTCAAGCCTACACCTGCAACCCTCCAGGGTCCTGTGGGGCAGCGGGGGGAGCTTTGAATCACTACTCCAGGCCCTTGTGACCAGGAAAAGTGGAATAGCCTGCTCCCCATGCCTTCCCCAGACTGATGATTAATCTGGGGAAGGTGTAGAGAGCAGGGAAGAGGGGGTAGCTGCAGGCTGAACACCTGTACAACCCCCTTTCCTGGAATGATTTCTAGCAGGAGAAATTTCTCAAAATTTTCTCCTGTCAGAAATGAATGTCTGTTCAAAACCCATATGTTGTGTTGTGTTGTTATTTTTTCCTATGTTAGATAACTGTAGCATGGCAACCAGCTGACATAAAAACCCTCATACTTGTCCTTTAGTCAAGTGGATGGCTTTTAGAAGATGTATATGTACCATTTTCTCTCTGTCCATTCTCCCTCTTGGTTTCCATGCTCTGGCTATCACATTGACAGCTTCTGAAATGATGAGGTGGATGCATAGAGATCTGTAGTAACCTATGGCTGGAAGCTTGAGAAATATCCTGAGGAGGCAAATTTTGGCTGAAATGGGAGCAACAACCCAGTTATTGTATGAATATTTTTTAACCGATATCCAGAAGCCTGTATAATGGGGCAATCCTTCACATATGCATGAAGGTACCTTTTTGTACCCAGCCATTCCAACATAGCTTACAGTGGATGTATCTACATGTGCATTAGATCTGGGAGCAATTTACTCGCAAGTAAACACTCCCAGGCAGGCATCCACACATGCAGGAAAGTGGAAGCAGATTTGCTGCTAATGGCAGCAAACTGCTCCTGCTTCCTGGGCCCTTGCAGTGGACCCCTGCTACCACCAAGGCGAACTCTAAGCTCCTCCTGTGAACAAGCCCAGGAGCTGGCAGGGAGCACCAGGCCAGGAGACAGCTGTCTCCAGGCTGGGACTGGGACATAGCACCCTGCCCCCAGGGGAGTTGCCTGCTGCTGGGGTGGGGACAATGACCCCTTGCCCCAGCAGCAGGGAGCTCCTGGGCTCAGGTCCCTGGTCAGGGACAGGGGACCTGGAAAGAGTTGCAAGGGCAGGACAGGTCACAGCCCCCTGCCCCAATCTGCTGCACTTGGTTGGGGCATGGGGCTGGGACCTGTCTTTGACTAGGACAGTTCCCAGCCCCAACTCTGTGATCACAGGGTGGCGGCTGGGGAGCCTGTTCCTGGCCCAGCTCTGTGATTGCCTGGAGCTCCCTGCTGCTGGGGCAGGGGGACATAGTCCCTGCCTGCGCTTCAGTAGCAGAACCCACCCTGGCAGCAGGCAGCTCCTGGGGGCAGGGAGCAATATCCTGTCCCCTGGTGACCAGCTGACTGGGAGCAGATTTGTTCCTTGTCAAGTGTCTATATGAGCACTACTGCACAGTAACTAGTCATAAGTAAATTTGCTACTTACTTTTGGAGGTACCAAATTTACTCGTGATTAGTGAGATTTGCTGTGCAGTAAGTGTGTGCATGTGTAGACTGCTATGCACCAACTATGATCTGGTAATTTTAAGTCTAGGTGGAGTGAGATGTTTGGTGTAGTAATTTAACCAAGATCTCTGTTGTTGCCAAAGAGAAGGTGGCAGAATATAGGGCTTGTCCATTATTTTGATCTTTGCTTCTAAGAGTTCTCCCCCAGTTCTTAATGTATATAGCTTTGGAGATTTTTTTGCAGCAGGGCTCAGTTGAGACACAAACTCTAGCTAAAGTAACCTTAGCTGAGGAAAAATCTGTTTCAATCTCAGTTGGAGATCTAGTCGAATAGTTTTTCCTGGTGGATTGTGTTGAAAACCTTCTTAGCTGCTTATAATGAAATTTGTTACACGTATGATCTAATATTACATTCATTGAGTCAAAATAAGTCATTTTGGTACAAAATAATTTTGCCACATGCCTTATTTTTCTTTGTTATAATTGCCTTAGTAGACTGACTCATTTTTTATAAGCTTTTGATTTTTCATGCAGTTTCAGGTGTCAGATGTGATTTTAAGCAACCTCATCATTTTGACACAGATAAACAGGGCATTCCCATTGAAGGGGTGATTTTCCAGTATTGGCAGTATCCAGATTTATATAATCTAGGGCCACAGAATTAGGCAGGGTATTGCAAGTTCATTACTTTGCATATCAATTCATGGAGTGATTTGTGAATGGAAGCATCTGAGAAAAAAGGCAACTGAAGAACAGACCCCAAATTAGGACATCTGCAGTTGGAGAACAAGTTTTTGGACTCAGCACCACCATTGTTAGTGAAAATTGTATTTATTGATCTTTTGATCACAGGAATGTGCCCTGTGTTAACATGTAGTCAAACCTGGACTTCGCTTTGGCTTCATTTCCTAATTTAGACAACACCACATATACACACTGAGATACATAATGGGTTGGTTTGAGAAGGAAAACCTTCTCAGTGGCTACATTCTTCTGAGTTGTGTGATGTTAGAAGTTCCCTCTCATCCATAGTATATTTACAGGAAAATTACTCTCAGCTACATCTTAGATTTAATTGCTGGAGTATCTAGCAATTCAGGTACATTAAGTCAATTAGCCATCAAGATCGGGATCTCAAATTCTAATTTATACACGGCAATTCTTATTCTTGAAAACTGAAATGATTTACGGGATACTGTGCTGTAAATTGCAGAAGAGACATCAACTTCATATCACACAGCCCATCACACAAATAGGATTTATATGGATTTAATAATGTACTGGTGAGACCTCCTGCCTAGATCCCCAGCCAGGACTTTGGAACAATAAATGTGAGTCCATCCCACAGAATCCTACCTGAAAATCTGTTTGCTGAGCCTAGTGCCTTGTGAAACAGGACTATTGGGGTTCATGTAACTAATGGCTGCTGTGGAAACAAGGCACCAGTCCCTGTGTAGAACTGGGAGAAGGTAGAGGAAAATAAATAAGTCACCAGACTACCTTTTCTTCATGATATATTTTCTAATCAAAATAGTGATGTTGTTCAGCAATGACAGTCTTCGTCTACTTTGGCCCCTTTAAAATACATCACTCCCTAATAAATGAATCTCACTTAATCCAAATGTCAAGTAATACAATTAAATATGGAGAGATTTCTGATGTACCCAGGCTATGGAGATCTCCACAAATCACAGTGGTTATCACTCTCCACATCTGTTCCTTTTACTGAAATACAGCTTGTTCTCTCAGAGTGTTCATGTCTCATCTTGTAAATCTCATATTAAGGTGTCTTAATTCCCTGCAAAGTCAAGAAGGGAAAAATTCAAAGTCTAATTAAATAGTTTCTGTGAATCAAAATCTCATTTGGGTTTGGCAGTTATCTGCAGTGGGTTGTCCTAATCTATTTCCCATGTATCATAGCAGCATTGATTTGAATTTTCTCGGCACTGGATACCTTGAGTGACAGTTATTCAGCAGCCTGCCTTGGGTTGCTCTCTGTCCTCACTATTACTTTAATTGTACAACTTTCCTGATTATTTTTTTTCTTGTTGCTATCAGCACCTGTTGCTGATTCTCATTCTTCTCATATTGACTTGTAAGGATAATCCTTAGTCTCTGGCTAGCTTTCCTGGTGGGCTGGGCAAGAATAGACCACAACACAACAGAAAGTTGTTACATCATAATTCATATGGCAGCTGTTGCTCTGAGATTTTTCAGGCCACATCAGCTCACATCATTTTTATTGTTTCTCTTTGCAGTCCAGTAGATGTGCTCTACCTTGACTTATCTGCCATGAGTTTCCTGCCACTTCTTTCTTTGCATTCTCTGCTTACCTAGCACTAGACTCATTTGCTCATGATTTGCTAACCTGGTGCAAGGGCCTTCTCCTTTGCAGCTCCTGCTGTCAAGAATATTATTCTAGTATCTCCTTAATGCTACATGCAGTGAGGTTGTACTGATACAATGCTACTGCTGGCAGAGGTGCCTGGCATTTGTGTTGCCCATGGATGTGCTGTGAACGTTTTCCACAGTCATTTTTAAAGTCCTGATACATCCCTTGCAAAACCTAAATGATTCCTGGCCAGTTTACCAGGTATGAATATAAATATGGCACCTGGGAAGTAGGGAGGAGGCAGACTTGCAGAGAAGTAACGAAAATGTGACACCTGGCTAATCCTTTGAAAATATTTTATTTTTTCTAGCAATTCTTTCCCCATCCAAAATAAAGGAGCATCCCTTCCTAACCCCTTTTACATTATCACTTAATGTTCCCAGAATTGGGTGGGACAGTTGAGAGAGGGAAAGCATGTGCATGCATGTGTGAGTTTAATGCAAGTGAAAGATGCTGGACTTGATGACCTCTGAGGCTAAAAATAAGTGACAGCAATGAAGGTTTTTCCAGCATTGCACTCATCTTTCTCTGTCTGCCTGATCACTGATTTAGGTGACCACATACAAGCTAGAAGGGAATTCAGTCTCCCTGGTCTATTCAATCCATGGCCTCTCCTACCTAGAAGGTCCAATTAAGTGTTAGTGGCTATGATATATTTTTTGTCATGTGAGCACTTGTCCATTAGGAGTTAAACTTGTGGCTGGTATAAAATGAGTTAGGGATACCAAATACTTTAGAATGCTAACATATTTCCAGGAATTGTGGGCCTTGAAAGTACACTGGATGGGAGCTTGTAACTGTCCCAGGCAAAATACATTGCTTCTTGTTGTGTGAAGTTTTAGTCCTTCCTTTTGCTTTTTCCTTGTCTCTGGTTGTCAGTGTCTATCTTGTCTCCTCTCTTCTCAGGTGTGCCAATGCTGTTTGTTATCCTCTGGGGAACTGTCAAGTACCTTTATGAAGATGAGGGGTTTGTTCAGTTCTGATTTCTAGCTGATATCTCCATTGTGTTGTGTGTGCAATGGGGCTTGGGGTGGGGTGTTTTTTTTTCTTTTTCTTTTTGGTTGTTTGGTTTTGGTGATGTGCAGAAATGTCATGCAATTGCTTGTGTTCTGCCTAAATATGTTGCATAGCATTTCTGAAAGGAACATAAACTCCTTCCTTAGGTTTTTGTGCATGTCAAAATGTATCCCTCCCTACACAGGTCAAAGGCATGCATCTTTGTATCTGTTTTTCAGCGGCTACAATATCCATAGTAGAAGTCATTGTGCCTTATCAGACCATCTCTAGTACTCTGCCTCTGGCAGTAACTTCTATAATATGCTTCAGTGGAAGATAAAAACCTCCCGCAGTATCTTTTAATTGGGCCAACTATATACTTGGGATAGACTTAGACAAGCTTTTGGGTATCACAGTACCTGGGAAAAGGGTACTGTGGCACACAAAATCTTGTCTAAGTCTATCCCAAACATGCAGTTGCCACAATAAAAGAGATCACACACAAAAATCCCTGCCTTTTGCATATTTTCTGAACTGTTACAGTTACTGCATCTGTTTAATGTAGACACTGGGGCCTTTTATAATCTACTTTACCTTTTTGTGGGTCCAGTTATTTGTAGATGGAAATGAAGGCATATTATATTTCTTATTGATGAAAACATGTCCATGAAGCTGATATTTACAGTCATCCCACACATTCTGATTTGTTCCTGCAGTTAGTTGTGGCTGTGAAAAAAGGTGGGATGAATGACCTTTTTAAAAAATTGGGATTTATATAAATTTAAAAAAAACTGAGCCACCCAGATCCGCTTGTTAAAGACAGGGTAAATGTTTTCAGGAGATACTTGATTTGTAAGCAAAAGTGCCATTGGGTTAGCTGGGTGGCATCCCCTTTACAGACCTGATACTGTTAGTTGCCAAGTGTCTTCTATGAGGGGGTGAGAACAATCGTCTCTCAGCAAATAATTCCTAATCACATGATGTTGGTATGTCATCAGTGTAACAACTGCCAAAAGTACAAATGGACGCAAAATCATATAGAGATCTATCCATTATATTTTTTGGACATTTTAATTGCTGTGCCACTTTAATTGGATTCTAATGGTGTTTTCATTGCTCATATTTGTATAAATTTAAAAGCAGTTAAAGCTGCTATGTGTCATTGGAAACCAATTAAATCATACGGAAATGTAGCAGAGTTAATGTAAAGAACCATTTTTCAGCTCCTGTCACTGTCAGGTGCTTTAAAAATTGAGCTTGCTTCCACTGCAGCTACTCAGAGAAATTAAAAGTGCAGTTCTAGCCATGCCCATTATTCCAGGCTGAGGCCGCAAGGTTGCCCCCCAAAAATTAATTTTAAACGCTACATGAAGTTGGTTCTAAGTCATGCATAGCAAGTAAGTGGCTTTTCCATTACCCAGATGCCACTTAAGGTGCACTCAGAATATGTACTTCCCTTTGACCAGTGGCTAAATACAATAGAATGTGCCCAAATAGTAAGACAGGTGGGCTAAAGTAAGATACTTATTGTGAGTACAAAACTGAAATATAATTAAAACAGCAGAACCTTTTAAAATAGACCTGTGACTCCTGCAGGACAGAGAGATTGTGAGCTGCATGGTTCACTTTTCTGTGTGTTATTTAAATGTCTTTAGTGTTGTCACCTCTCTGCATGGCTTATGGTTGACTAGTCACCCTACAGTTAAGCTGAAACTAGCTTTCCCAGCACAAGTCTCTCTTTGTTGACCTCCCACCCCACTCACATTAAGTGAGCCGAAATTTAATTGCAGTGTTCTTTTGCCAGTATAATACTTTCATAGGATTTTTAAGATGACTTGGATTCAGTAATTTCTAACCAATGAGACTGGAGGGGGACTGGGAAAGGGAAATGGGTGTAAATACTTAGTTGGGGGATTTTTAAAGCTGTTTATGGCTTGTCTGGTCTCTAAACTGGGTGACCTGGAAACAAACATCATGTTTGTTTTCACCTGTTGGACTTAATGACAAGTGTTGCTTTTGACAAGAGGGTAATAAAGTTATTAACCACAGTTTATACAAATATAAGGAACATGGCATGTCTGCATAGCCCAGATGTGTACTTTAGAGCCTAGAATAAACTCTTGATTCTACTTGTCCATATCTTTTTGTCCTAAAAACTTCCTCTGAGACTGAAACCTCCACATACATGGACAACTAGACACTTAACACTGACTCTGGGAAAGTGGTAGGCTGGTAATGTGAGCAAGATGCAGTTTCCTCCTATAGAACGTTTAAGAACAGTTTGTGTAACATGAGAAGTTGACTTGGGACTTTTAGGATTAATGAAAGTAGTGCTGAATGGAATGGTTAGGGTAGCAGCCTTGCAGCACAAGGCTTGATCCCAACAAATTCCCACTCAGCCAGATGAGAGAGCCTGGATAATAGCATCCAGCTGGGTTATGATCACTGCAAATTAGAACATGGCATTTGATGTTTCTAAGAACCAAGCAGCTGCATCTGTTTCCATGTTGGTGTGATATGCCTTTCTGGTACCTAGTTCTCAATAATGTTTTCCATTTTCATTTCTGAGATGTATGATGGATCAGATCCCTTCTTTATCATGTACTAAAGGTTTTTCTTTTGTTTCACCTGCCTGCTGCTGCTGCCACCAGTTGTTGGAGCAGAAATTATAACATGAATTACTGGCTGATCATCAGACTGCCCATTCTGATTGCTATTGCGGTAAGTGACCAAGAGCACATTACTGTTATAGAGAGGCAGACTAGTGTAGCTGGAGATACGCTTCTGCTAATAAAGCTACCATGGAGCAACTCTGCATGGGAATGAGAGACTGTGGCCATGGACAGACTTGCATTTGTAGTGCTTGCCTCAGTACTTTGTACCATTACAAAAATAAAGCACTGTGGGGGTGTGCAGACATGAACAGCTGCTGCTGTCCCTAGCTAAGACAGAGGTCGGGAGAGCTCCAGAGCCATTCCTGCCCCACTTCATTTAGGCTGCACAGGGAGCTGGGCTCAGTAGCAGTAATGGCAGTGGCAGACCTGTTCTTCCTCCCTAAGCCTGCTCCAGGGCTGGTGGGGAATAACTGGGGGGGATCAATCAGTCAGGGAAGAGAAACCTACCCATTCCCGTTGGCCCTGGCTGAGCCTGACTCCCCACACAGCCCAGCTGGAGTGAAGCAGGAGCAGCTCTGGAGCTCCCCATGGCCCTGGGTCAGCCACAGATGGTGGCTGCTGATGCTGAGTATGGAGGGCAAGGTGGGGGTGGAATTATCTGATTCATGGGCTTAAAAAAGGCCCTGGCTGCTGGTTCTGCACCATGCTCTAAAAGGGGAGTACAACCATACTACTGCACTCCTTTGATTCCCTGCATCCCCCCTGCCATCCCTTGGTGTTGTCTCGGTGGCCTCTTTTTCCTCATCTTCCAGAGGAAGATACAGGAGTTCCTTGTGTCCTTCCTGCTGTGCTGTTCTCCAGGCAGCTGAGCCATCCAGTCTATATACACTTCTGGCTCCTCTGACTCTTGTCTCCAGTACTCTCCTCAACTAGTACTGCCGGAGCCCATGTAAGAGGGCAGGAAACCTATAATCCAGTTAATTACTTCTTTATGGGGATAGCTGACAGAGCAAGAAACAGCTGCAGGTAGGTTTCCAGCAGGCCAAGGAGGCAGGCAGTAAAATTCCAGACAACAGAGTACATACAGCAAAGTGACAGGTTTTATAGCTTTTCTGAAAAATGGCATATTTTTTATCCACAAAATAGTGGAATGTGCAGTTGAAATGAATACTGTGGTCCCCATGTCTTAACTTGTGATTGTAGCTGGCCATCCAGTCTCGGGCAGGCAGGCATTGCTTTGGTTTACACTCAGCAACTTTATCAAGGTTATTTATTTAAGGATAGAAAGCCAATTCTATGGCAAAGGGCTGAATTACGTGGCAAATTCTGAGACTACAGAATGCATTCACAGTGCATGTTCTTGCAAGAACCCTGTCATTCACATACGCTTCCTGATGATAACAGCTGCTTCTTCTATTTTCCTCTAGGTGAATTTCCTGATCTTTATCAGAGTTATATGCATTATCATTTCCAAACTGCAAGCAAATTTGATGTGCAAAACTGACACAAAATGCCGGTAAGCTATGTGATGTACTAGCACTTTCTGGCCTTCTCAAGATGGGAGATGCAGGCAAGAGTGTATTGACATAGTAGGACAAAGATGGCCATACCACATCAGTATGTTTACCTCAAACAGTCAGTCCCAGAGGAATCTGACTGGTGAATGCAGAGCTTATGGGAAGCTAGCTTTGCCAAGCCCCTTGCTGGACTTGCTCTGGAGATAAACAGTAGCCGTAATGCCTTCTGGTGTCACTTCTGAGGACTGGAAAATACTTATGAGGCAAATATTTTCAAGACATTTTACGAGAGAAAAGCACTAATCTTCTATGGAGTGCAGAGATACTGCTGAGCTCCTATCCACTTGTTACCACATCTGCTCCTCGCAACCTATTTGTCCTCAATTTTCCAGGCATGTCTGTTTTATTAACACAGTATACTAGGCTGATTGCAGATGAGTTTAATTTTTACCATGCATACTTCTTTGCACCTAACATAGGTTGCAGCTCATCCAGTCAAATCATTTCCTTGCTAATGGTTAGGCCCATACCCTTCATGTCTGCATTACTATGGCAGGCAGAAGTGTAGTGTAGGATAGCTCAGATGCAGCTGAGTATGCAGGGGAAGGGAGAGGATGCCAAAAGCCAGGGTGAGGGAGATTCTTGCTAGCTCAGGTACTGGTACCAGTGTAGCTGCAATAACAGTGAGTCTAGCACACGTTAATTTACCTGTGTCTTATCAAAGTAGGCTAGCCCATGCTGTTGTGCATATACAGTGATCGATACCTGAGCTAGTTAGTGTAAAGCTGTCTCAGATATCTCTGCATTGTTCTCTAAGCTACACTGTAGATATATTCTGTTTTGGCTGCTCTCTTGTTGTGCTGCAAAGTTGGCTTTCAGATTCCATCACCACACCTATTATCCACCACAATTAATATTTGGAGGCTAACAAGCTTTCCCCATCTACCGATGATATTGTATCTCAGCAGGAGAGCGTGGGTTCTCATGTTACCCTGTGTTCCAATGCCAACCGATTGTTCTGGTAGAATATTATGACATCTCCGTGCATGACTGGGATGCACATATTAAGTGAGGACTCCCTGCATGTGGATATGGTGGGAACATAGCTCCTGGGCTAAGTGAAACAGTTAAGATCTCACCATTTCTCATTCAGTTTTGTTCTCTCTGTTTTAATCATTTACTGTGGCACTTGCTCATTTTCTGTGTTACTGGCTTTTCTTTCCTCATGAAATTACAATTGCCTTAAAGAATATTTGGAACTCAGTGGGGTCTTTTTTCATGGACTGAAGGCATTAGCACAGCTTTATCCCATTTTCAGTTGCTGTTGGAAGCTTCTGAGTGACACTTGCAAATGTGGGACCATTTGGCTGGGTTTTGAGGTTCACCTGCTTGTGGTGAAGTCTAGAGGTCCATTGTGTGTGTGTGTGGAAGTCCTTCATTGGCCTTGTATGAGATGTGGGTTGGGCATCTGCTTCTCCATGTCTCACTTGCCTTAGGTTCCCACATCTCAGAATATTACCTTCTTCGCATTCAGGACAGTTAATCATCAATTAATATCATTGGGGCTAATTCTAGGAGCTATTTCAGCTTTGTTGCCTCACAGTTAAAAGTTCAACTAGTTGTCAAGCTCTTTTCTCAAGGAATAAAACACAATACAGGGCCACATTATCTCTTTCCATTACAACTTCTGTTTTGCTAGTGATGGAGATACATGACTCCCAAAATTTGATACTGTAAAGCCTTCTCTGAGTACTGTTTTGGTTTCATTCCAGCATGCACTGAAAGGCCTTGTAATAAGCAAAGTCTCACTCTCACAGCACAGGACTCTTCTGACTCACCTCATCTTCTTCACCAAAGAAGATGCAAGCCTCTTGGATCACCCTATCTGTTCTAGGTGCCGTTAGCAGTTATGGGTGGGAGTCCTGAATAGGATCATCTTCACTCTGAGAATCTAGTTCTTATCATCTTCTCCAAAGAGAATTAGATTTGGAGCCAGGGCTGCTTCTTTCTCTCCCTTGCTCTCCACAGCAAGTTAGCAGTTCCTTCTCTTTTTTCCACTCTTTTCCCCAGCTCAGGCAGACTGGAAGAGAAGGGCATGGTTTGATCTAAGGGAATGGGAAGCATTGCTGTTGTTTGAAAATCCACATACTTTAACAGTGTTCTTTTCAGCTGAGCTATTTGGAATGGCGTTGGCCCTTTCCCAGCTGGAGTTAAGCAGGACAGGCACTCCTCGTCCCTCTTACAGTTTGCTCTTTTCTCCTCCTTGCCACCCCTCTCATTACTGGAGAGAGATCTTAAGGCAGCAAGCCCCCTTTCCTTATGGAGAAGCTGGGGTGGTTGGGAAGCTTTCTGCCTGCTCACAAAAGGAATTTATCCCATGAGGTTAGTCCAGTGTCCCCATCCCAATCCTAGCAGTGTTTTCAAGACCACCTGTTTGCGCAGTTATGTGGGACTCCCTTCTGAAACAGCTCACACTGGTAATACACACATTAAGAGGGCCTGCAGCACAGAAAACCAGGGACTTCCCCCCTCCCCCCCTTTGCCCCCACAACTCCGAGAGGCATCTCCAGAACAGATTCAGCCCTTGCCGTACAAGGACACAAGAGGCTGACATGAGTTCACCCAGGTTGCTGTGCAGCTAATCCCACTAGGAGATTTCCCTTTAAAAGCATCCCCTCACCTGTTCCATGGAGTTGCCAGCCTTGGTCTGTTGGGGAGCTTGCTTCTGTGCTTGCCTGCAGTGGCAGACTGATTTATGTAGCTGCTTCAATTCCTCACCTCTCTTTGCTTATATGGCAATTTGCACAGCAGCACTCAGGGTACCAGGATAGGTGGTGGCTACCCATTACTCAGTCAACTTTGACAGCCTGTATTTCTGTTGGAGGTTCTGCTTTTGTGTTCCTGGAAGAACAGCTTGCACCTCCCCTGCAATGACAGCTCTCCATGAGATGCCTCCAGCACACTAGCAGGTTCGCTGGTTCCAAGCAGCATAGAAGCTCCCATCTTAAGGTTCAGTCATCTTCAATTATGGTGCCATGCTTCTCTGTACCTTCCTCGTGTTGTCAGACAGTGACAAATTATTGTGTCCAGAGGCATGTTTCTCCTCCCCTGTATTTGTTCCTGCTTATTGCTGTCTCACTAGGCAGAGCTGTTTTACTTCTGATTTTTTTCCCCCTGGCTAGCCATGTCCTTGGTCTTCAGATTTTTCCTTTTAAACAAGAACTATCAAAGAGGAGAGCTCATTTCTTTTATGTTAAGATTACTTCAGTCCTTCAACAAAACTTGGCAGCTTACTGTTCACATTATTTACAGTGACTTGAAGATGTAAGGCCTATGTAAATTCCAAAGATTAATAAATAATCTTTTTTTTTTGGCAAAAGCATCTTGCTTGAACCAAAAATTCTTCATGAATGGCTAGTTCCTTAATCCTTACAAACCCCCACCCCCTGACAGAAGTGAGCGTTGATCATCATTCCTGCTTTAGAGTGAAATGAATGTTCAAGAAATCAACAGTTCAGGCACAAGAAGGTATGGTGACAGTGAGATCAACATAGGAAGTGTTGTAAGGAGGTCTTGAGAAAAGATGAGAAAGGTACTTGGTATTTGGGAGGTGGAGGTTATATATGAAGAAACGCACAAAGTGCCATAGCCCTTTTACTCGCTTGCAAATACATTTGTCCAAAGGGCAGGACACAGGTATTTGTCGGTATTTCAGACCTGCTGGTGTGTAACAGCTTAGTCACAATGACTTTGTACAGCTGCTCCTTCAGAGTAAAACCCTGTCGCTCTGTGAAGTGGCTCAGGTGCCAGCCTAGTACACTGTTCTTTTCCACATGCATATATCCTGACTTGTCAGGCCCATTTTCATTCCCCTCTGAAGAGGCGCTTTAGTTTAAGTCGTCTTTGTCTGGAAAGCTGAGCCTTACCTCCCAGGATGTAGTCCTTCAGCGCCAGGATGAGCACAGTTGTGCACAACTCAGGAACCTGCCAGGTGCGCAAATGCAGTGAAGCGAAACACCTCTTCTTCCCTCAAGCTCATTGGAAAAGGCCAGCCCCTTACTGTACCAGTGAAACCCTTTGTAATCTGGTGGTGGCTACATACAACATACAGGAGCAGTTTCTTCCCTCCACCTTCCCAAGCACCTTCCTTGGTGACTATTTGGTCCCCACTAAACCTCACCTAATGCAAGTCCCCACAGGGACTGTTTCCAGAAAGCCTTTGAGGGCTCATCCATTACATTTGGCAGAAACCAGCAGCTATAGCCCTCAGAGTCTGTTCTTTATGACTTTCTCCTTGACATTAAACAACTGCCAAATGAAGACTAACTTAGGCCTCCAGAAAATAGCCATATTTACTCTATGTCCCAGTAGACCTCCCTAACCCCCGTCACTCTATATATCCATGCTTTGCTTGGCTTTAATGTCTTTGAGGCAAGGATCTCAAAGTGTTTTGCAAACATTAACAAATTAATCCTTCCCCAAGTATCCTCCCCAGCCTTGAGATGGGGAAACTGAAGCACAGAGTGGTGAAGTGACTTGCCCAAAATCACACTGGGCAAGAGAGTGGTAGTGGATGGGTCATTTTCGACCTGGAGGGATGTGGGCAGTGAGGTCCCCCAGAGCTTGGTCCTCGTGCCCACACTGTTCAACATCTTCATCAGTGACTTGGACGAGGGGGTAAAAAGCACCCTGTTCAAACTTGCTGATGACACTAAGATGTGGGGGGAAGTGGGCA